AAACCAAACTTTAGTCGTAAATGACTGGACATCAACTTCTAAACTTTACGATGATCAGTCCTAGGTGGAAAGAAAAGACAGAGTATATCAATACTGAAACCATCGTTCAATGCACGATAAACTGATATTAAACTGGTCTGAATGGAAAAGAATAAACATAATAGCACCTAAATTGTCGTTGATTATACATACAACTTTAAGGGTATTTTATTATTTTAGTCAGCATTAAATCACATCGTAACCTGCAGTGAAATAACGAAAATAGGTTGAGGTTTTTAAGTCTGTCTTCATAAGATGAACCATAGAGACCTTTTGGAATCCTTATCCGTCAGCGTTGAACTCATTCTAACATACTGGGATATTTGTACAAACTAATGATTCATTTGTACTTAATTCCCGCTGGTTACGAATTCCAAATACAATACGCTCGTTCGTGCTCATTTAGTTCTTTCTGGCCTAAATTGAACTGTTTCGGGAATTCATAGCTAGAACAATAATCAGAATGTTTCCAGTTATCATACATATCCACCTCATATTTGAAACAAAGACTCGCTCATTAAATTCCATATTTCAAATGCGGCCTGATGCAATTCGGATTTAATGCCCTAAGAATTTCTTCGTCAGTGTACTGAAAAAAACTTACAAATAGGCCTTAAGCTATTGACAAGAGCAGCCTAGCAATTGCATATACATTTGAGGCCACTGCCTACCATGACTCCTGGATCGTTACAGTCCATAACTTTGGGCAACACAACTCCACATATTGATTAGTGACATGAATCGTTGCGGTTACTTGGTCGCATCACCACGTTCTTTTTAGATGACCTGTAATAAGCACTCACTCATTCATGCGACCGGTGTATTTATGTCACCTTGTAGTATTGTTCTATCTAACATACTGTGTATCGGTTTTCAAATCTTTATGTCAACTACAAAGGGTAGAACATATTGACTTTGTTACGGTCGGTTAGTCTTTGAAATAAAGAAAAAAACTAAAAGAGGATTGGGGATTGCATGTGGGGTCACTCTAATTTTTACAGATTTTCATGCTGATAAAGCCCCATTTAACAGTACTCAATTTCTCACATCATTGGGAAAATCACTTATACAGTCTGTGATTCCACATGATTCACAAAACCCTCCAATCTAAATCTGGGACCCAGGTGAGACACTTTATCAAAAGCTTTACTTACATTTGTCAAAATAACATCCACAGGAATATTTCTGTTTTTTGCTGCAGACCAGTTTTCTCTAATATGAGTTTGTTTTCCTTATTGCAGTGCAGCAAAGAGCAAACGTACTGAATAAAGAGGAGCAAACCCTACGCAAGCTGAACCTGCAGAACAATGTATAAATTCATTTTTTAATAAGTTTCCCTTTTTGTACTCGAACCACGTCTTTCAATTTTTAAATATATATCTGTTGTGCCGGTACGCCGTGCTCGTACGTCAGTGGCATCTACCGGTCCTGACTGTTGTGTTGTGTTTCAGGTCGCTCCTGCTTTCAAGTAAACGCTAAAAGTGCGTGCTACATAGGCTCTTTCTTATAACCACCTTGTTCCCTGGACAAAATATTATGCCCTCCATATCGTTTAATATAGCCATCCAAATAATCGTTTCCATTATTTTTTGGCAGCTATACTGGTTAGACTGGAAGGTAGATGATAACTAACAGTGCCTCTGCTCATCTCCGCCATCTGTCCAGCAATTACACCTGGCAGGGCTTTCATAATCCTAGGTTGGAAATCGTCATGAACACCTGGACTTATCTGGTTTTTGATGTTGGCATAGTCTTAAGACAGTTCCTTTCCCACTAACCACAGGATCCAACGACAGGCCGTCCTGATCGCGATTACTTGTTGATCATTCCACATCGACGACCGAAAACACTTCACTAAAATATTCTGATAAATCTCCATCTTTTGTAACATATATTGCCAGCATCAACAGATTTTCTTGTGACGAATGTTGTGGGATCCCATTACCTCTCTGAGTTATCCTCTTTAGATATGATCCGCACTGTTCTGAGCTTGTAGAGATAAAAAAACTCTAATGCTTTTTCTTACTTCCAAGAAGTTTCTTGAATTGTTTAGTTTTACATAGAGGACAGTAATTTGGTCTACGTGGTACTAAGTATGGTATAAACGCGGGCGTCACTAAACCGGACGCATCTTTAAATATAAACGATTCTTCATCAACTGATGAGCTAGAATTTACTGACCAATCGGTTGTTGTAGCACACACCCAAGTGACTGATATGTTTGCTATCCACACATTTGGGCGTGATTCAACCTGGTTGTATATCATGTCATAAGCTCTGTACATGAATGACAAAAAAGTATGACCGCTGTTTGCCAACGTGGTGAAAATATTTGGGTGGGCGATATTCTCGGTCGCATGAGTGATTGCCAAGTCTATCAAAAAGATCCTTAGTTTGAACCAAAATGTGTGGATTCGGATATATACTACACTAAAGCATGCTCCATTACAGTTACCAGAATCCTACTTTCGAAGGAGTTTACAAATCCTACAGTGGCCATCTCAGTCCAGTGCATTAAAATCCCCCGATATCAGGCTACTATTGTTTTTACTCCATATCTTGATGTGCTCAGAAACAAAGTCATCAAATTAGCAAATTTATTTTCTTGTTTATGTATTTATTCATTTGAACACGTAAATATTTGAACTTGGAGGTACCAAATATGTGTGCGTCATATAATAAGGATGACGTTGTGGAGAAATAAAGAATAAAAAGTACGTGTAATAAAAATAAAACAATGAACAGCAAAAATATAATCAGGAAAAATTCAGAGAAGTTACTTTCATTTACATAGAGTAAAGAAAGTTACGGCAGGATCGCAACTGCCTTCTATTCTGAGCCGTGCCAGACAACGTCTCTAGCCTTGTTCCATTTATCCTATGATGTAACACTCTCTAACTGCCAGCTTAGTAAGATTCACGGCCAGAAAGTCGCCACCATCTTCTAAAGGACTTGGGGTACGTCATCTGGTTCTGGCGACTACTGGAGCTTCTGCAGTTAGAGTTAATTGTGAACTTTCGCCTCTTTGTGTGGATCAAGAGACATAGGCCACGGTGAGCTGGACAATCTGATCGATGTCGCCGAAGCTACAGACCATTTGGACTGCTCCGTCAACTGTGCCGATAGTTAGTGCCAATCAAAAAAGGTTCGTATGTTGCATAAAGTTTGAGTAGATAGTCCATCGTCCAAGACGTCGGTAGATGTCATAGACTGGCATCTCTTCATCTTCACAGATGGTTTCATTCATTCCGAAATTCTTTTTGCTAGTGACTCGGTGAGCTGAAAGATCCTCCGGCGGTTACTAAATGAAGCTGTCGCTCCCAACTCATTGGCACGCTTCGAACACCAGGCTTCTTGGTCCTTACGCAAGTTTTGCCCAATTTTATTAGGTAACAGTCATCGTTTATGATCAAACTCGCGGCCGCCCGGAGTAGATCGGCGGCCTTCATGAGTTGTAGGAAGCTTGAAGAAACCTAGTACTTATAAGCGTGACGCTTCGCGAAGCTACAACAGACTTTGCTCGCTAATTTCACGGAGTCACGCAACTGTAACCAATTCTCATCTATACATTTGAATGGGATGGTAGCTAACCTTGAACCTAGATTGCTTCGATGTTTAAGTTCAATAATAAGATACACGAAATGAGAATAAAGAGGACTAAATAAGTGACGTATTATGGATGAAATAAAAATGAACGTAATTTTGAATATGATTTATTTGAACGGGAGTTTAAACAAGAGTAATTTTCCAGTAGTAATTATCATTGATTTGTGGAGAGCCCAGGCGCCCAAACAGAGGCAATTACTTTTCTTGGAGGGTAACTCCCTGAGCCTTTGACATAAAGGTTTAATCCACAAGGCAACGTTGGAAGATGCAGTCCCACTGTAGTTGGTGATCAACGATGGGTTCATGCGTTATTGATTCCTACAGTATCTTAGAGCCCAAGTTTTCTAAGACCCCAAGTGTAACCTCCGTATCCACTAACTCGGCTAGAGCGCCAGTCACTCGCTTCTTAACCCCTCAATCTCGTAAACAACAACTCCGACACGAAAATGCAGTAAGTAGAACTTTCCTATCAGTGGCTCTTTATGTTATGTGAGAGCATTTAGAGAGGGAGAACTGCTCTCAAAACAAACGACCGGACCAAAGATTTGTGTGCAGATTGAGCTACAATAGATGACACAGAGTGTAAATATACAAAGTTCTAAAGTGTCTTTACAGCTAATTGTTTCAAAAAGTTCTCTGTCATGAAATTCACAAAATACGGACTAGATAATCATATTACCAACTTGGTATATACGGACCACACTCCGTTTACTGCACCTATTCCTTTCTTTTCTTAGATAGTAGTGTATGTCGGTCATGGACCAACCAAGTTTCGTCCACTAAGGCTCACTGGAATTTATTTCCAAGACTACGAGCATTTATATATACAGCTCCCAAGGAGGACGATCTATCCAAACAGGCCTTAGTGGCATTCGTTTCCAACACCTGAATACGTGAAATCCCACTAAGCAAAGATTTTCTTCACCATTTCGCGACGAGCCTTTAGTTCGGTTGTTTCCGCCTTCCTTTTTATTCTATCTTCTAGTGACAAATCAGGTCCTACTCGAATATCGGTATTATCATGTCTTCGAGCGCTATTTAACAAAAGATCTCGTTATTTCTCCGATCCTAGGATTACCTTAAGAAGTCTATATGGTGAGAGATCCATATTTTTGTCGATTTTGCCGCCTGAACTGCGACATATTTGTCTGGTAGGCTGTTGTGAATAAATGCTCCAACCTCTTCCAAATCATGCTCGTGCCTAATATTTGGGTCAGGGTCGTTTGATTCTCTCAAATTATTTCAACAGTCTCTTAATAGAGAAATCCAGTCACTGAGGCTCTTTTGAGACTCTGTAATATCAGAACGACATTCATATCTTTTTATAACTTAACTGTTGCGGTACACCAAAGTTTGTTGTTTGAAGCGACGAACACATTTCAAAAGTTATCCCTACAATGGGAAAGGATGGCCCAAAGCAGGGGAATTACGTTGTAGCTGTGATAGATGCAGTCAAGTGTCCTATTAACATAACATTGTTCTTAATATGCATTTTACTTGTTTATTTAAGTCTGAGGCCACTGTTAAGAAAAAAGAAATCCCAGAAATGTGAAGTCCCGAAAATGGGGAAACGTGATTTCACATTAGAAGAACTTCAGAGTTTCGATGGCAGTGGCGAACATAAGAGGATATTGATCGCAGTTAATGGTAAAATATTCGATGTCACGAATAAAGGACAGGGATTTTATGGCAAGGGTAAGCTGGAAATCCACGTTAAATGGTTCCAGGCGCACCGTATGCTGCTTTTGCCGGCAGAGATGCATCAAGAGCACTTGCGTGCTTCAACCTCGAAACAAAAGATGACTATGACGATCTTTCTGACCTTACTGCTGATCAAATGCAAACCCTAAGGGAATGGGAACTGCAGTTTTCCGGTAAGATTGTGATTTTTGTAAACCACATTGTCGATATCTTTATGCTTCAATATTTTTTATCATCTAACTATCCATATAATTTCTCTGCATATCTGGCTGTGTTTGGCAACCGAGGTTCAGCCATTTGTTAGTCATATCAATCTACAACAAATTGACCGTTAGATCTTACGTGCATTTCGCTTCCAGTTCCACAAAAATATATTATCAAGGTGTGTTAATTATCTGAATTTCTAGTCGAATCGCGACACAACTTCACTTTTCTGGAGTCAAATGTTTCGAATTTAGAGTTCAGTTGTCTCAGTATTTACTGTATACAAAGCTTCAATCTAATCTAGTCTATCGTCTGTTAACCCTCGTGATGGAACATAGGGTGCCCACCACAATTCTCCATCGAACTTTGTCCTGGGTATCCCTTTGGTGTCTGCCTTCAATTGCCAGTGCACAGTGTTTCTTGGTCTTTTGAATTTCCTTTAGCTTACAAAATTCCAAGTTAGTGTTTGCCTCGGGTGATTTCCGCAATGTATATCCCGTCCATCTCTAACGACTTCTTAATTCCCTATTCACTTAGAAGCTCGTTTTTTCCCTCGCACAACATTCTATTACTGATGGTATTAAACCAACGGAAATTGAGTGTCTTGCCTAGAACTTTGCTTTTTAATGAAAGTTGTAGTTCTCCAGGTTCAAGCTCTGTGCAGTAAAGCTGTCTCGAGGTATGTGTTGAACTTTGATATTGGTTGCGGCTACACTGTTTGTCTTGGCCTGCATTTGTTGATGTGTGTGGAGTAGAAAGGCTATGTCATCTGCGAAGTCCAAATCGCGTAGCTATATGCAAGCTGTCCATTGTATTCCGTGTTTCTTCTGGGACGTGGGGGTCTTCATTATCCAATCAACCACCAGAAGAAAGAGAAAGAGTGAAAGTAAGCAGCCTGACAATGCCTGATAACAGTCCTAACTTGGAATGCATTTGTCAGCTGTCTTCTATGCAGGACTTTGCAGAGTAGTCCGCCGTATTAATTCCGTGTGATGTTTACGATCTTCTCAGGTACACCATAATGTCGAAAATTTTTTATAACGTTCTCCTATTCACACTGTCAAATACTTTCTCATAATCAATGAAGTTGATGTATAGTGATGAGTCCCGTTCAACTGATTGTTCAACAATGACCCGTAGTGTCGTGATTTGGTCTGTGCACGACCGATCCTTACGGAATCCAGCTTGCTGATCTCGAAGTTGGACATTCACCAAAATCTTTCATGTGGTTCAGCAACGCACTGTTGAAAACCTTTCCTGATTCTCAGGGTTTCAATGGAGATCTATTCCTTATGATGGTGCTTGTTGCGGCCCAGAACCCCCTGACACATTAAAGTTAACGCTTCTTTGGTTCCTCTCCTGTTGTCTTCCATAGTAGTTTCTCACTCTTCGAGTAATTCTTCCAAGGCTCGAAAATTATTGATGAGAGCTGTCTTGAATTCGTCGAGCTTGTATCTCAAAGGAAGGCTGTATGAAGTCTTTTTAGTGCTGCTTATCCAGTTTTCCGGTGCTTCTTTAGCATCAGTCTCATCTTAGCCACGGCCAGGTGGTGATCTGAAGCTATGTCAACTTCTCTCCTGGTTCTCACATCTTCGATTGTCTTTCTGAAATGTTTTAGTCACCCCGATCTAGTTCTCTGTAGTGTGGTCCAGTGAGATCCATGTAGCTTTGTGCGTGTGTTTGTGTGGGAATGTTGTACTACCTATAACCAATTTGTTGAATGCACATAGATTTGCAAGTTTCTCACCATTCTCGTCCGTTTGTCCTAGTTAGTCCATGTCGTCTCATGATATCTTCACACCTGGTGTCGTCCACTCCAACTTTAACATTTAAGTCTCTCATCAGAATGTTCAGGTTCTTTTCTGTGCGTTTCTTTGCGATCGATTGCAGCCTCCTGTAGAACCGATCTTTATCATCGTCATTGCTATAATTAGTGGGGGCATATTATGGAATAATATAGTATTGTTTATAATATATCTTAGCAACAAGGCACTCCTCCATTGGTGAATAGAATGATAGTTCTGTGTTATATGATTATACCAAACCAATAAGAAATTCTTTTAAGTCCAGAAATCACTGACATTCGTCAGTATGACGTATCTGACGCTGATGATATTCAAATCATCATCACTGCCCATCCATCATATAAACTGCATTATTTGAATTTAAAGTTTTATTGTCATTATTAATAAACATATTAGCGACCAAAGCTTCACAAGGAAGAATAGATTCGGGATATTGATTTGGTGTAGTTGGGTTGATAAGATCTAGTAGTTGTTTACACAAACCAATCTAGCATTATAGTACGTCCACCATGGTTATTTTTTTATTGACATAGCTGTTTGGTAAGTACAAATCACACCTCAAACTTGTCGTTTGTGTATGCTGTGTGCTGAGGAGTAGGTATACCATACTCCTCAAAAACCGTTTATTTCAGTAAGACTAAATACAAATTTTGTCTTGTATTACAGAGCGTTATGATCATATTGGGCGACTTTTGAAGCCAGGAGAACCTCATCGGGTTTATGAAGTCAATGATGGAGAAGAAGACTTTGGAACCAATCATGTTCAAAGTGCACTTAAAAAAAAAGTAACTTGAAAGTGTCTACTTCTGTTCTAAGTATCTTATGTATCTAAACTTAGAATATGATTTTCTTACTCCAACTGATCATCCATGATGCTCACATTACAGTTATATTTTTGACGTGGTTTTCGATTCGTGCAATAACCAGACCGTTAAATGAAACACTCGTCCACACAAATCTGTGCACCATGGAGTGAATCTCTTTTAAAATTCAAACATAAATCTACATTTCTGGGTATTTGTTTATTGTATTTTGTTCTTATAATTACAAATCATTTTGAATACACTATATGTTTGACCTGGTTGCTACTGCTTAATCATAATGTAAATATTTGTAACTTTCCACAAATATACATGTCCAAAGCTTATTTTCATCCCAGAGCCCTATTTTTCGTTGCTCAGATTCATGTTACCGATACTCAGCTTGTGGGGTGATTGTATTTGGCGTTCAGGTAAGTTTCGTTCATAAGCCTCTACGATCAGTTCTAAAGGTTCATCAACTAGGTTTACGAAAAAACCCTAAAATAATGCAAAATAAACCATTTATCTGATCAATAGACATAGACCTATGTGGAACAATGTAATCAACTCTGTTGATATATATACTCATTTTACCACTGATCCCACATATGTATAACGCTCGTTCACTTTAAACCGCCCACCTGGATTTGAATTATGCCATTTTATGCACCATATGGATCTTCCGTCCTGATGGTCGACAAATTCATCTATTAAAACTGACCAGTCAGTAAATGATTCAAAACGGATTTGATATGCTCTAATTAGCGAACTTGAGTTAGTTATTCAAAACAGAACCAAAAATCATGGCAGGTTGAAAAAGATGTAACATATACCATAAAATATGGCCAATGTTGATGTTGGCATGAAAACGCCGGAAATAACTGGTAATGTGATGTAGAGGTAATTAACAATTATGAGACACTATACAATCATGATGGAGATGACGAGTGATTCAATAAAGTCAAAGATAAAAGTATTCGAGTACAACTCTACTTGTACAAGGAGAGGCTTGTCACACTTTCCATCTGCCCACATAGATCAGGTCCAAAACGTTTGATCGTAGTGGTTTAATAAACACTTAGTGTCATATAATGAAGCCAGTTAACCCGCAGGGAAGAGTTGTTTGTGCGATGCTTTGTTTCATATAGTGATCGAAAAATTTATATGAATAAAATACTAAGTTGCTTGACTGAATATTAAGAATAAATCACTTAATTAATTGGTATTTATGGACATAATATTGTTTCAGCGTGAGGATTACCCTAATAAAGTTAGTCGTCCAAACGATCATTACTTAAATAAGAAAATACATAAAAATAGTATACTGAGTTAGAAATGGTGGTAGACAACATTGAAGTATTAGGATTAGACGAATCAATGCAACCGTTTCCCATATTTACAGTATATAAGAAAGTCTATAAAAATTTAGTCTGGTTAAGAGTTTTGTAATAAGATGTTTAAGAATTCTGTTTGCAACTGATCTATGTTTATTTGAAAATAAAGTTCTTAAAATAACGCTTATTTAGGTGATAAAAGTAAATTGATAGTGGCCTCCGATTGATTAGTTCGAATATATTTACATTCGTTCCCACAAGCTGGCTTATTTATTGACAAGACGTTATGTTAGTAGTAGAGTCGTTTATATAGATTTCGATTCATTTAAACCTGTAAGAGTAGTTCATGTTTCATTTTGACCTTTAGAATTTTTGAAAGCTGCAAACATTTTATAAGTAAACTATATCCACCTATCTCATAAGTGAACAAGCTGAAATGAGCAAATAACGACCTGAGAAAAAAGTAACGTAAATTTTTCATTTTCAAGAATCTTGATTTATTTAACGTTTGCAGTTTCTAGGAGATATGGAGTGAGTTTTTCCGCCTTGTACTTAAATGTTTTCTGAAATCATATCTGGTCATAAAAATAATGTATTCATAGTAGCCTAATCAGTAGAAAAACATTTCTGATGTTTTGTTACTTTGTCAACTCAAAAATAAAAAACTCGTTCAAGTACAAATACTGTAAGGAACAAGTCACTAGTAATTACAATTAAGTCTAAGCTTTAGACTGTCATTATATGTAGGTATTGATGAGGTCAGTTGTATTTATGATGTTACTCACCACTAATGCGTTAAATTGACAAATAAATCTTATCATTTTTGTGGATAAATGAAAACGGAGTTTTTTCAGCTTATCGAATATTTCATAGGTGTACTTTGTGTGTCAATACCCTGTGATGGTTTTGTTCAAGAACACATGTTTAAACTTAGTCTTCAAAAACAGAGTACAGATAGAATTATAGGCAAATAATTCGAACTAGATTTTTCGATTTATGTTTTTGTTCAAAGTATAAATTTGGTTATTTATAAGGCACTTCTCTGAAATTGATACTCAATATTTTCATCAACATAATAGCAATTTCATAAAGTCGTTTATTTTAAAATTTAAAATAATCAAACATAGATTTGGATAATATAATAGACATATGAAGTTTTGTTGTAAACAAATTGTTGTGTTCAAAGAACAAATTATTTTTCAGTTTAAATCTCCCATATAGTTCACTAACAATATTTTAAGGAGAAAGTGTAATTATTAAAATGGAACAAATACAGGAGGACATCATAAGATCTTTTGCTTTACGAAGTTCATTACTAAAATGGCCGAGAGTGGGGTGGGTTCTCCCTCCCTCTCGAAATACTCTCACACGGTCACGCGTATATAGCCTTTGCCAGGGAAGTCCTACTCACTGCCTTCTCGTGGAGGGGGTGTTGTTTACGAAAATGAGAGGACGAAAAGCGAACGTCCGGCTCTATAACCGGATCATAAATCAATGGTGCACATGGGCTCCAGTATCCTGAGGGAACAAATGGCGTATGAACCAATTTCTTGGTCACCGGCTTCCATGGGACTGCATCTCCTCACGATGCTCCACTGCCTTGTGGACTAGACCTCTAGGTCAAAGGCTCGGGGTGTGGCCCCCTAAGGAAATCACATGCTTCGGTTTGGGCACCCGGGCAGTATCTCAGCCTGCGCACAAATATAATGATAATGAAAATTATGACATTCACTGAAAACTATTCTCGCTGCGATTTACTGTCAAACAATTCACATTATTATTATTATTATTTACCACGTCATTTACTCACTCTCATTCCCACTCTGTCTATCCTTATTTTTCGACTTATACAGCAGCTCGCCTATGGTGGACATTCGGCTCTATCTAAACGTTCTCGTGTCACTGCCTGGTTGAAAATTGTATGTTACCACCGAATACGAGTACTGAAGCAGTTTTTCTGAAACCACGTGCACCATTCAAACTGGCTGCCTTTAACGTTCGCACACTTATGCAGGTCGGACAACAGATGGGGCTGGCTATGTCTTTGGAAAGTCTTAATATTGACGTGTGTTGTCTATCCGAGACCCATATTCAAGACTCTGGTGAAGCACTACAAATTTGTTCTCCATCTGTCACTTCAAAAAGCTTGTTCTACGTGCGTTTATCCGGGGACACTGTGGCATCTTCGTCCGGTCTTGCTGGCGTTGATGTCGCACTAAGCGCTAGAGCTGAGGCAGCACTAATCGACTGAATTCCCATTAACAGTCGGTTATGTGCTGTTAGATTAGAAAGTACCATCAAAGTGAGAAGAAATCGGCGTGAGAAACGATGTCTTTTTGTCATCTCCGCCTATGCCCCGACAGATTGCAGCCCAGATGCAATCAAGGATGAGTTCTACCACCAGTTAACTCCTCTCCAGAAAGTGCGTTCGACAGATATTGTAGTACTAGCCGGAGACTTGAATGCTCAGGTCGGGCGTCTAGGCACAGAAGAGTCATTTAGGTGGCCGATGGGGACTTGTTGGTCGCAGGACAGATAACGGGGAACGTCTACTGCAACTGTGCACAGACCACAACCTGTTTCTGGCTAGCACTAACTTCCGGCACATTCATCGCCGATGTGCCACCTGGCGTCCTCCCTCTGCATCTCAAGCCTGGACTCAGATTGATCACATCCCGATCAGCTACCGCTGGCGTGGTTGTGTACAAGACTGCCGCTCCTTTTGGAGTACCTATCTGGAATCTGATCATGCCCTGGTCTGCGCCAATCTTACCTTACTTTTCAGTTGACAACGAAGTGACCGCCACCAAAGGATTGATGTTAGCAAGCTGGTTGCAACTTCTGTTGCTAGTAAGTATTGAATCGAGCTAGCTTCTAGGCTAGCTACCATTCCACCGAAAAGTATAGATAAGCATTGGCTGCAATTGCATGACGCCATGAAGATGGCGGGTCAAGTCAGTTGTGGGTTCGCGAAACGTCCCGCTTATAAGCACTGGGTTTCTTCTGGTTTCTTACAACTCATTGAAGCCCGTCGGTCTACTCCGAGTGATCGTGAGTATGACCACAAACGAAGAATGTTACATACTGAAATTGGTCAAAGCTTGCGTAAGGACCGAGAAGCCTGGTGGTCGGAGCGTGCTAGTGAGTTGGAAGCAGCAGCTGCATCTGGTAATTACCGGAAGCTCTTCCAACTCATCCGAGCCACTGGCAGCAAGAAGTCTGGTGTGAGCGAAACAATCTGCGAGGATGACGGAACGCCAATCACTAACATCCATCGACGTCTTGGACGATGGGCAGAATTTTTTGAAGGGCAGTTCAACTGGCCTGCTGCTCCGGCAACATCGGTCAGACTGTCCTGCCCTCCATGGCCGGTGACGACTGATCCACCAAATGAGGCGGAAGTCCGCAAGGAACTCCAACTCTTGAAACGTTATAAATCACCGGGCCCAGATGACTTACCTCCGACTCTTTTTAAAGATGGTGGTGACTTTTTGACTAAGGGACTGACGACGTTGTTTACAAAGATCTGAGAACTAGAGAGTGTACCAACGTCATGGAATGAGTTGATAGTTGTCCCTATCTTTAAAAAGGGTTCACGTCGTTTCTGTAACAACTATCGGGGCATAAGTCTACTTCCGATTGCGTCCAAGCTATTGGCTTCCGTTATACTTCGTAGGTTGTTCAAAACTCGAGAAAGATTGACTCGCGAGGAGCAGGCTGGGTTTCGTTCCGATCGAGGATGTATTGATCATATCTTCACCCTCCGCTAAATGATAGAACACCGCCACACTTATCAAAGGCCAACAATCGTAGTGTTTCTTGACATCAGAGCTGCCTTCGATTCGTTGGACAGAACTGTTCTCTGGGATTGTCTATTGAAGAAGGGTGTGCCTGAGAAGTTTATTAACATCCTAAAAGCCCTATACACAAACACCTCAGGCAGAGTGAGAGCATACAACCAACTTTCTCCATTATTCCATTCAAGCAGTGGGGTTAGGCAGGGTTGCCCAATCTCACCATTCC